CAATGAACTAAGCCCAATGTCTGCTCTCTTCTGGCTGATGTGTCAACAGTGCATGTTGTCACTGCTCCTTCCTCCCTCGACATTCTCTTCAGTTGCCTCGAGATCCCCGACTCACTCTTGGGTCCGCTCCCTCACCAGCTCTCCTTCTGAGCCCCCTCTGCCGGCTCCTCCTCTGCCTGCCCTTGACTTGACTTCTCACCTGGGAGCAGCTCAGTGTTCAGCCCTGATCCTCTGCTGTCTCTACACTTGCTCTATCGTGTCTCACCCCGGCCTCATGGCTTCAAACCCCATCTATGTGTCAACAGCCCCCAAATTCTCCCTCCAACCCAGTCCTCTCTCCAGTTCTCTAGGCTTAAATGTTAAACCGCCTGTTGGACATTTAAACTTGAGCCTCTAGGGGTGCCTGGGTGGCTCAGTCCGTTAAACGTCTGACTTTAGCTCCGGTCATGATCTCGCAGTTTATGAGTTAGAGCCCTGCATTGGGCTCTGTGCTGACAGCTCCCTCTCTCTCTGCCCCTACCCTGTTCATTCTCTATCTCCCAAAAATAATAAACACTAATGATAATAATAATAATAATAATAAACTTGAGCCTCTAACAGGTATCTCAGACTAAGCCCCAATGAGAACTCTCTCACTCTTCATTCCAAACACTGTACTTCCTTTGGTCTTTTCTCATCTGTTAATGGCTAATCCATCCTTCCAGTTCTTAGCTCAAAACATCCTGTAATTACTTTTGACTTCTTTCATTCTCTTCTTTCTTCCTTTCCAGCAGAGAAATACTTATATTGGCTTTACCTTAAAATATATCAAGAACTCAATTACTTCTCGTCACCAATACCACCATGGGCCAACCTGCCATCATCTCTCACTCGCATTATTGTATAATGAGCTCCTAGCTCGTCTCCCTGTTTCTGACCTTGCCTTGTAGGATCTATTCTCAACACAAGGCCAGAGGGATCCCGTTAGAACCCTGTTAGGCTCTGCCATTCTCTGTTCAAAACCCACCAACGGCACCACATCACTCAGGCAAAGCCAGAGTCATCACCATGACGACAAGGCCCTGCTGAGTCACATTCCATTATCTCTCTAACCCCACTTCCTGCTCTCTCCCTCTTCGCAGACTCTGCTCCAGGCACACTGGCTTCTTTGCTGCTCTTCCAGCATGGACACTGCTGCCTCTGCCTCCAAAACTCTCTGCCCAGATATACATGTAACTTACCCCTTCACCTTCTTTCCTCAAATGTCATGAAACACTGACCTCCATTGCCCTTACTTGCCCCCCCTCCCCCCGCCACCTTTCTCCACTGAGCTCATCGTCGTCGTCTAACCTGCAACGGGCTTATTTGTTACCTGTTCTCTCTTCTAGAATGTGCATTTCATGAGGGTAGGGACCTTGTCTTTCCTGCTCACTGCTGTATCCCTGGCCCTGGCACACATTCTCAAGTGAATGAATGATTGGCTGAGTGAATGAATGAATGCCCAGATAAGAGGTACTGCCGTCAGGGCCACCTCTGGGCAAGCCATCACCAATAATGGGCTCTGCTGACCCTGTGGGTCTGCTGCCCCCAGTTTTCTCTGCAGGGATGGCCGGGCTGGCCCCGACTGCAGCAGGCACACTGCCCAGTCCTGTCTGTCAGAGGTGGCCTGCTCTCTGCCAGAACAAACATGCTTGCAAGGGCTCACCGACTCCGTTATTAACAGTGAAAGGAGGACTGATCCTCTAAGCCTCCTTTCCAGGGGAACCCATGCTAATAACAGCTTTGCTAGGAAAGCTACAGAGGCTGACTGAGCCCACCTGCAAGTGCCCATGGCCTGCCCAGACATGTCTGGCGTCGCTAACCCCCGGGATTGCTGCGTTTCCTCTATGCTTCTGGTTGAAAGGAGATAAGCGCCTTTGATGATGGTTCCTGTTTGAAATCTTACAAGTTCTTTAGCACTCAGCCTGAGAAATTTGATAAACGCTGGGGGTGGGGGGAGGGGGATGCTCTGAGGAACAGATCTCGGTTCTGTGGTGGCTTCTGCAAAGGTCCCAGTTCTGAGCAAGCACAGAGAAGGAGGGAGGGAGGGAAGGGGGGGGAGAGAGAGGCGGGGGGGGGAGAGGGAGAGAGAGGGAGGGAGGGAATGACAGACACACACACACACACACAGGTGTGGCCAGAAGCTGGCACCATGAATAAAGCAGACCAGGTATGGAGCACCCTGCATGGTCTGAGTCAAAGCATAGCCTCTGGGGATAGAACATCCACCCTTGTTTCTCAGCTTTGCTCCCTAACTACTTGGGTTGTCTTGGCCAAATTATTTAGATTCTTTGGCCTTTAGTTTCTCTGGGTTTTTTTTTTCTGTTTGTTTGGTTGTTTTTTAATATAGTGAAGTAACTGTACATCCAGAAGTGTACTTAAAGCATATACGTACAGATGAACACATTACTATAAAATGAATACATGTGTAACCAGGATTATCTGGACGTTTATGGCGTTCGTTTCTTTGCCTTCCTTTATTTCTGCTGCCTCATTACCCATCCACAAATTATACAGTTTCTTTCTGCCCTATTTTTCAACTTCATATAAATGGAATTGTACCTTTAGCACATTACTGAGCCTCCCTAGCCCCATGGTAGGTTTTTAGGATTCGTGCATGTTGCTAGGCGGAGCTGTAGGTAATTCTTTCCCATTGCTGTAGAGTTTTCTGCTGCAAGAGCACATCATATTTATGGACCCGCTGGATTTCTCCTGAACAGCGGGTTAGGGTCAGGCCATCATGGGTAAGGCTGCCGTGAACGCATGACGTGTCCAAGTCCCCGGCGTACCTGCGCACATATTCCCATCTGGGCCGTGCCTCGTGGTGGCACTGCTGGGCCCTCGGGGTGCATAGCAACCCTTGCAGATCCTAGCAATACACACAAGAGCATGTAGCTCTGTCCTCATCCCCACTTGGATCCACCCGCCTTCTCCATTTAGTCCTTCTGGTGGGTGACTGCAAGTGGCGTGGTGTGGTTTAACGTGCACTTGCCTGATGCCTAACGAGGTAGAACACCGCCGCCTATGTTCACTGGTCGCGAGGATCTGGTTTTGGGTGAAGTGCCCGTTTGAGTCTCTTGCCAGAGTTTCTACTGGCTTGTCTGTCGTTGCCTTACAGGTTTGTAGGGGTTTGAGGAGGAAGTCATTTGATGGCTGGATGTGGTACAAACACCTTCTCCCACCGTAGATGCTTGTCTTTTCATTTTCTTAATCTCCCTTTTAACGAACAGATGCTCTTCCTTGCATAGAGTATACTTTATCCATGTTTTCCTAAAAGACTAGTGATTTTTATAACTCCTGCAAAAGGAATCTTTCTCTACCCCAAGGTCACGACGATGTTCTCCTTTCCCCGGTGTTCAAAGGTGCCACCTGTCATAAATGAAGGTCCAGCTGCATCAGAGTCTGCTTCTGGGCGTGATTTGGTTCCACAGGTTCAATCCCAACCACCTGGCACCCAAGGAGGTCCGTGAAGGCTGCAGAAATCCATGGGTGCGCCTAGGTGTTGGGTCAAAGTTGCCACAACCATCAGGAGGCAGGAGGCCGCGGCTAACGGTGTGAGGGCATTTATGAAGCACAGAAAAAAAACTGACTTTCAAAGTGATAATGACCCTCCTACATGAGGATCGGTGTAGGGGAGGTGGCCAGGCAGGCCACAGCGGGGATGGCAGAGGAGAGCTGGTGGGGTGAGGGGAAGGGAGGGGCTCGGTCGATGGAGCACACTGGGTTGGGAGATGGGCTCCAAGGCCCCAAAGGTGAGCTTCCGCCCCTGCCCAGCTGTGCACCACTCAGACACTATGCGGGGGACAGGGGACGTCCGTGGCTCCTGGTCTCCACATTCAGCAGGGAGCTGGTGGCTGCAACCCAACCAGCATGGTGATCTTTTCCCGATGACTGCAGAGGGCCACCCTGCCTTTCTCTTGCACCCCATGTCCGTCCGCAGACCCTGGCAGCTCTGCCTTCAGAACAGCTGCATCTGAGCCCTCTTCACCGTCTCTTCCACTCCCATGCTTGCCTGTGTCCCCGTCACCCTCGTCTGATGGCTGTCTCAGCCAGCCGTGTCCACTCCTGTCTCTCTCTGCTCCACCCCTCACATGCCAGCCAGGGAGCCCTTTATAAATCTGGGTCCGGTTGTGTCTGTCTCCAGCTCAGAGCCCTCCTCGGTGCCCGATCAATTGAGAACAAAAGCTGAGATCCCCACCATGTCCCCAAGGCCTCGGTGACCTCTCCTGCCTCATGTCCTCCACTCTCCTGTCCTCCCTCCCTCAGACCTGCTGGTCTTCCTGAGATCCTATGTCCACATCTCTCACTCCCACCTCAGGGCTTCTACACTTGCTTGCCCCTCCACCTGAATGCTCTTCGCTCAGCATTTCCCTGGCTTTCCTGGCCACTTGTTGAGCTGGGTGGGCTATAGCATCTAACACACCATCCCCTCTATCATCCTACTTAGCTTTACTTTGTTACATTTCTCTCTACTAAAAACCACGTGACACCTTGACTTGCCTATTGTCCGTCTCCCACTAGACAATGGATGGGAGGGGAGGATTGAGGGATCCTGTATTTTGTTTATCACGGAATTTCTGAGTGTCCAGGTACGTTCCAGGCATCCAATAAGTGTTTTTAATAAAGGTGAGTATATGGCAACCACTGCTGTCAGCTCAGGGACAAGGAGCCGGCTGTGTGGGTGGCGCAGGGGCCCCGCGTGGCTGTAGTGAGGCACGGCAGAGGGAAGGACACTGGCTCCAGCGGACCACTTCAAAAGCACCTGCTGTCCGGCAGGGGTCTGGACGCAGGGAGGCAGTACACACACACCACAGGATTCTAGCCAGCAGGGGGCAGCTTGGCTCGCCTGCTGAAAGTGGCTAGGGACACGGCCAGTGGGTCCTGAGTGAGGGAGGTCTTGCAGGCTCAGCACGAGGTGGAGGGGGCATGATTACCTGAAGGCAAGGGTTCTAGAGGGTGAGCATGCGATCTACGGGCAGTACCTCCGCCAAGTGGGGCCCAGATGACCCGGCGGATGGCCTGCACCCAGTCCTCCATGTCCCGCTGGGAGCTGGCCATGAGCAGGAGCGCCTCGGGGTTGGCCGGCACCTTCTCCCGCTCCCCGGCACCACCTGCAAGACAGGGAGACACAGGCTTACTGCAAGGACCCCGTGCGGACAGCGGGGCACACGCCCCCAGTACGGTCCACCCCCACGCCAGCTAGCCTGGCCTTCCCTGCTCCATGAGAAGGCCTCCTCTCCCAAACCTGTCGGCGATGGCCAAACCCCTGGTTCCGTTCTGGCAGCCCCCTCCCACCCGCGGCCACTCCGTTCCCACCTCACATGGCTGTCTCTGGGGCCCTTCCAGCTTTCCACCTAGCTCCATTTCCGCATCAAAACAGAAATCATTAGAAGCATCGCCTGGCGCTATTAGGAAAATAGCATTCGCATTGGAGGCCATCTGGGGGAAGCTCTGAACTCAGAGTAGCCTCGCTATGTGTTCTGTTTTAAATCAGTTTTACCCCTAGTCAGTACAAAGTGCTACCTCACTATGCTTTTAACATCCACTCTGATGTTACAGCCCTCCTTCCCCAGCCTGAAAAGAAGACCTGATTCCCCATACACCGAACAGTACAGAGGCCAGCTATTAAACCAGGATGGAGCAAAATACTCTAGAATTCCCCACCCGTCCCCACTCGCAGCTAGGCATGGGATCTAAACGCAGAAGGACGGGAAAGTTCAGATGCTCATTAAATGACTTCTTCCCTGATGTAGCTCCAGCGGATCTCACGTTTTCATGTATAAATGTACTTGTCTGTAGGGTGTACACAAAAACCAGTTATACTCAACTTCATCTAAAGGATTTTCAAGAATGATCTTGTCTTTGTTCATTCCCAACATCCTGCAATATGTAACTCACCCAGGTACTAGCCTCTGGTTCCAGAGTCACCGACCCTAAGCAGGACTGTCCCAGGTGGGAGTCCCAGGGTCCTGGGTTCTCGAGGGGGTGGGGCGGCAGTTAGGGAGAACCAGGAGATCCTGGACACCCCTCTAGAGCCTGCAGCCCTAGGATGGAGACAGAAGCGAGTGCTTCCTGAGTGCTCGGTACCTGCCCGGGACTCTTCTAGGAGCTGCAGATGCTTAAGTGGACAAAACCATCCTCCTAGGATTCTTTAATCTTCACGAAGACTCTGTGACAGGGGGTACTGTTACTTTCTGCAGTTTCCTCAGGCAAGGAAACTGAGGTACAAACAGAGTGACGAAGGCACTCACTGGAACTCACACAGCTACTACGTGGTAGAGGCTGGGATTCAAAGTCCCCTGCTCTGGGCTCTGACCGACCCCATGCTCTTGTCATCCCTCACAGAGAAGGCAGCCTGGTGGGATCAGTCTGACAGCGGTCCCAACAAGGCCACCAAGGGCCAGAAAACAGGGGAGAGCGCTCTGAGAGCCGGAGCACAGGGTGGGGTGTGTCCTCACCGAGGGGACACCCAAGCAGGGCCAGCAGTCTAGACAGGCCTACGCGGCCCACAGCTCAGGAGGGTGGTGAGCAAGGAGACAAGCCTGCCGGGACCCCAGGACACCTTCTAGAGCCCTCACCACACACACAAGCCCCGCTCCTCGGGGCCCTGGGCAGCGCTGGGGAGCAGGGCGGTGGAGGGGAAGGGGTCACGGGGCAGGGACGGCGGAGCCCGAAGCCAGAGAAGTGTATGTGTACCTGCCAGAAGTGAAGGCTGCACGCATGGCTCGTGGCTGCCACGGTCATTTGTGGGATGTGGGTAGTGCCACAGAGGCAGGGAGAGCAGGGAGCGGAAGCCACATGCCACCAGGAAGCTTTGCTACATAAGCTTCTCTGAACCAGTGTCTCAAGATGGCTCAGAAAAAGATCTAGAACTCCAAGAATTTGTTATAGTTACTTGCTTGTCCTAAATACTCTTTTATATCTAATCTTGGCTTCTTTTTTAAAATTTATTTTTGAGAGAGGGAGGGAGGGATGGAGGGAGGGAGGGAAGGAGAGAGAGAGAGAGAGAGAGAGAGAGAGAGAGAGAGAGTCAGAGTCTCAAGCAGGCTGCACACTGTCAGCGCAGAGCCTGACAATGGGGCTCAGACCCAGAAACTCTGAGATCATGACCTGAGCTGAAACCAAGCATCTGACACTTAACCGAGCCACCCAGGCACCCACTGACTTCTTGTTTTAAACTCTTTTTCCTTAAGAGACCCACTCATGTCACACAAGCTTCATTCAAGTTTCACACCAAACTTGGGTCCGTCCCACCCAGAGGTTGGCAGGTACACTCACATCCATCTGTGGCCCGCCTGGAGTCCCCCGTCCTGTGTGCTTACCTTTCCACATATCTTCACGTAGGTTTATTCATGCATATTTAAACATTTTTTTAATGTTTATTCAATTTGAGAGAGACAGACAGACAGACATAGAATCTGAAGCAGGCTCCAGGCTCTGAGCTGTCAGTACGGAGTCCAATTTGAACCCAAGAACTGCGAGATCATGACCTGAGCTGAAGTTAGACGCTTAACCAGCGGAGCCACCCATGTGCCCCTACTCATGCATGGTTTTATACACCTATGACCAACTTTGAAAAAAAAATGGTCACATGTGATTTCCCAAGTGATTGCACCATTACGTTCCCGCCAGCAGGTGTACAGAGAGTTCTGGGGCTCTAACTTCTCCTCAGCACTTGGTACGGACAGTCAGTCTTTTTACTCTTAGCCATTCTGATGGGTGTGTAGGGGTATAGCATGGTGTTTAAATGCAGTTCCCAAATGACTAATGATTTGGACATCTTTTTATGTACCTAACTGCCATCCATAGACCTTCTCCAGTGAAATATCTGCTGAAATCATTTCTTCATTTCTGAAATGGATTGTTCATTTTTTCCTTATTGAATTGAGAGTTCTTTGCATATTCTGGATACAAGTCTTTTATCAGATGTATGCTCTGCAAGTATTTCTCCCTGTCTGTGCCTTTTCTTTTCATTCTCTTAAGAGTATATTTGGAAGGGAATTTTTTAATTTTAGTGAAGCCCAATTTATCAATGTTTTTCTTTTACTGAGTGTGCTTCTCTAGGAAATCTTTGCCAAACTCAAGGTCATAAAAATTTTCTCCTTGAAGTTTCATGGTTTTAGAATTTACATTTAGGTCTGGGAGTTAATTTTTGTATTTGGTGGAGGTATGGATTGAACTTCATTCTTTTTAAGGAGGCTTCAACACAGGGCTTGAACTCACAACCTTGAGATCAAGACCTGAGCTGAAATCAAGAGTCGAACACTTAACCAACAGAACCACTCCAGTGGTCCATATCTGCTATATTTTTTATCTTGTGCATTGTAGGTTTGACCTCTAGAAGTTTGACTTGGGTCTTTTAAAAAAATATCTTCCAGGTCTTAAGGTTTTTGAACCTATTGGAATACAGGTATGAAAACTGTTTTAATGTCTCAAAATTCTAATAGTGTCATTTCTAGGTTGGTGTCATTTTCTCCTCATTGTGGGTCCTGTTTTCTTGATTCTTTGCATGCCTGATATTTTTTATTTTTTCGGGGCCAGACATTGTGATTCCTAAATCGTTGGGTGCTGAACATTTCTGTATTCCTCTAAAAATTCTTGAGTCCTTTTCTGGAATGAAATTAGGTTACTTGGAAAGAGTTTGATCCTCATAAATTTTGCTTCTAAGGTTTCTTAGGTGGGTCTAGAACACTCAGGATGGAGCCAGTCCTTTCCCATGGCTAAGGGAAACCCTTCTGTTTCCTATGCAATGCCCCATGAGTCATGAGGTTTTCCAAGATGGCAGACAGAAAATGCACCATTCCCTGCCCTGTGTTAGAGGGGACACGGTTGCCTAGAATCCTCTCTAGGGGTTCGCTCCTTGCATTCAGCTCATTTCCTCACATGCACATGGTGATGAGTTCTCAAGGAGTTTTCTCTCTGAGCAGCTCTTTCCTCCTGGCTTTCCCATCCTGCAGACTCTAGATGCTTTAGTCTCTCCATCTCTAAGTTCTGTCTCCTTAATGCCTGAATACAAGGAATTCCACTTGGGGTTCCCCTTTCTGCAGCACGGCCTGGAACTTTCTCCAGCACGGCCTGGAACTTTCTCCAGCTGGGGCATGTGTGGGCCTTATCTCATTTGTTTTCCATCTTTGGGGGATCACAGTCCTTCACTGCCTAATGTTTAGTATCTTAAAAATTATTTCTGATTACCTGTCCTTTTTTTTTTTGTGGGGAGGCAGTTGTTTTAGGTGAGAGAGCAAATTGCTCCCTGTTGCTCCATCGTATCTGGAAACTAAAGTCCTGCTACCACTTTTAAGGACCTACTACATGTAAAACACTGTGCAAGATGCTTAACACACATGGCCACAGTTAGTCCTCATAAACACAGTAGAAAGGAGTGTTACTGACTCCACTTTACAGATGAATAAACTGATGCTCTGAGAAGCTAAACATTTAGCTCACAAACAAGTACAGGGGCCAGGATTCAAACCAAGGTTTGTTCAACTATATGTGCATTCTCTATTTATAATATAAAACCTCCTCTCTGGCAGCAGAGAGGAGTGTAAGAAAGGTAAAACAAGTCATTAAAGCAAACTCTGGGACTTTCCACAGCATTCAATTGTTTACGCTTACTTTTTTCTCTGCTACTTAGGAAAAGAGTCTATTAGCTTTAGTTTAAAAAAAAAGTCATAACAGCCAATTATTTCAGGGAGAAACACATCATGAAGGCTGAGGGTCTCTTGTTACTGTTTTTTGGCTTTTCCCCTTTCCTTTTTTTAAACCACACTGTGTGACCATTGTGTTTCCATTCCATCCTGACACATGTCACAGGCTTTTGAGGCCTTCTAGAACAGTGCTTAGAGCACAACCTGGGGTCAACCCTCAGCTCCACCAGGGGGAGCACCATGACTTAACTTTGCCAAGTGTCAGAGTCCCACACCTGTAGGGTGAAGAAAATGAAGGAAGCTACCCTTTTGGGAGAATGAGATTGAGATATTCCCCTAGCTTAGCACCTGGCACCCAACAGGTGCTCTTTAAATGTTCACTTTTTAAAATAAAAAATGTTCATTATTTTGGAGAGAGTTCATTATTTCATGAGCAGGGGAGGGGCAGAGAAAGGGGGACAGAG